CATAGGCAAATTGTTGAATGAAGCTGCTCATTTTTAAAAGTGGTTAAACTAATATAGCTTTGGAATTTAAACGAAATCAAAACAGCTTATAAAAGAATTCATCATCCGAATTCTAAGTAATATTTAACAGTCTGCATCTGCACGATAATAACAAAGTCAGAAGAATTCAGGGCTATTCCCGGCCAAAGGAGAAACTTATCCCACAACTAAATGTGAGAAAGAAACTCGCCGCCATCTCTTCCAAGATACTGGGAGTTTATGAAAAAAATTGGCAGTGGTTTAGTCCAAAATATAAGATTTTAAGAGTGGTCCAAGAGTGTTTTACACACCCACAGTAGAAGAAAACTCACTGTTTTCATCTTACTAGGAAGCACTTCTTACAGGCTAATTCGGGATAGCCTGGGGACGATTTGACTTAGAAGCGAATCCCACCAAGGTAATATCTCGTGGTACTGAAATATAAGAGTGTGCCACACCACTGACAACCTGCTATACGGAAATACCATACCCTGAAAATCATCGCGAAGCAATATCTCTAAAGTCATCGCTTTGAAGTGGAATTACAAAATTAATTTGCGGTTGCAGATGAGCTTTTTCTGCCATTCTAAGTCACAAATGCTACTGTTACACATAAGGGGTTCGACCCCCGGTCGACGCACACCCGATATCACTGGTCAGCCTGCCATATTTGAGCTGCCGATATCACATGCTGAAAATCCAATGACTGTATCAAAAATACTGTGTGGAGTCAAGCTATAATAATAAAATTAATAAATGATAAAAATTAAGGTAGAAAACGGCCTTTTTACTTCCTTCACACAATAAAATTAATCTAGTCTGCACATTTTTCAACACATTAGACATGAAGCCGTAGGAAAACGAAGTCCGCTGTTTATATTTTAAGAGTGCGGCAGGGCGAAAAATCCAGTCTTATGAATATACGTTGGACTTCAGCAACCTATGTTTACTCTAGTGCCAATAATTGATTTTTGCCGTGTATATGAAGTTTCACTTCACTGATTTCAGATTTCAGATTTATTGGTTGAGGATAGAAGGCTTGGAACCTATGTTAATCCTTTTCTAGTAAATTTCTGTGGTTGTCCAAACCCTTCTTGAACGAATCAACTGAGGCTGCAGACACCACTTCTTCTGGGAGTCGGTTCCAAGAGTTTATGACTCGGTGTGAGAACCAGTACTCAACAGCAATATGATTTCTTCTCCTGCTGGATGCGGTTTTCCAGTCTTGACCTCACCAGAGATGTATATAAGGAGGTGAACATATCTCTGGTGATTCTAGTGAAGGCTCTACGAATTGCCCATAATGACCTGAAACTACGTGCAGCCACCGCGCGACAGTGTGCTGTAGTTTTTAAGTCGTGGCTAACTATGACACCTAAGTCCAAGTGAGTCTGAACTGATGGAAGTGTTATTCCCTCTAGTTCATAAGAGCTCGTGCTTGCTTGTCCAATGCGCATGGTTGCACATTTTGCCACATTTATCGGGAGCATCCATTCTATGGACCACTCTGACAATTTGTTGAGGTCCTCTTGCAACGTGGATGTGTCACTGTTGCCCTTCAGCTCTCTCCAAATTTTTAAGTCATCTGCGTATAGGACCATAGGGGAGTCGGTGAGCAGAGATAACTCATTGATATACAAAATAAATAGATGTCCAAGTACCGTGCCTTGTGGCACTCCGCTGCGTACTGCTGTCCAAGAGGAGAGTTTCGAGTTGATCCTAACCCTCTGCCTCCTATCTATGAGGAATTCCCTGAGCCAGTTTAGTAAGCTGCCTTTGATACCAAGACTTTCCAACTTCATGAGTAGTATTTTGTGAGGTACTTTATCAAAGGCTTTGCTGAAGTCTATGAAGACGACGTCAACGGGTCTTCTATTGTCCCTGGATTTGACCCAGCTTTCTCTTGCAGTGAGAAGATTTGACAGGCATGAGAGGTTCCTTCGGAAGCCATGCTGTGCTCTTGATAATAAGCTTCTATTTTCTAGATATGCCATTATGCTTTTCTTGATGATTTTCTCCAGTGTCTTAATTAAAGTGCTGGTGAGACTGATAGGCCTGTAATTTGAAGGGCTTTGTCTTGATCCTCCTTTGTGGATGGGGGTTACTATGGCGTCTTTCCAGTCACGCGGTAACACTCCATTTTGGAGAGAGAGCTTGAAAATCGTAGTCAAAAGGCCGGCTATGTGGGCTGATAACTCCTTGAGAAGCCTTGGGTGAAGATTATCAGGACCCATTGATTTCCCTGCATCTAGTTTCCTTAGGCAGTTGAGCACGATGCCTTGGTCGATGTCAACGGAATCTATCCCATGTTCTTCTGATGCAGCCAGAGCTGATCCTATAGGCAGTGACGACTCCTTAGTGAAGACTTGGGAGAAGTAGTTTGCCATTGCTTCTGCTTTTTCTTGATCTTCTTTGATTGTATCATTGTCAATAGTCAGATTTGGGACACCATTGGATGTTTTATTGCTGAAGTTCATGTACGAGAAAATTTTCTTAGGTTGTGCCTTTGCATTTTGAGCCAGGTGTACTTCGAATTTCATCCTTGATTGGCGGATTTCTGCAATAGCTTTATTTCTAGCAGTGTTATATAACTGCCTGGTCTCAGAAGTCTCAAGTGTGGCAAACAAGTTCCAACATTTGTGTTTACGTCTAAGTAACTTACGAATCTCTCGGTTTATCCAAGGAGGGCAGTGTTTCCGACCCTTTGGGACAGACCAAGGGATGAAAGGTTCAGTCACTTGGGTGCAAAGTTGTTTAAATTGGTTCCATGAGGCTGCTACTTGAGACTCCGGGTTGATGTACCAGTTTACTGAGTTGGCTGCTGAGACGATTGCATTTATATCAGCTTTGCAAACGTTTGGTCGAGGTGGGGTTTCGGCCCTTGCTGCCGTTGCCGTGAACTTGAAAGTGAGCACAGCATGGTCACTTCTTCCTAAAGGAGGAAGATGTTGTATGAGATCTACATCCTCACCATGGGAGAACACTAGGTCCAGAGTTGAGGAGGAGTACTGTGAGTCATAGCGCGTGGGCTTGATGATATGTTGGACTAGAGCTAACGACATACTAGATTCCAGCAGTTTATAATCAAAAGAGTTGACTGAAGATGGAGTTGTTAGGCCCGTCCAGTCAACTGTTGGGGCATTGAAGTCGCCAACTACGAGACTTCGACATTTCGAGGTCCAGGAGCCTAGCTTCTCTATCAGGAAGTCATCTGCACTGCAGTCAGGACTGCGGTACATAGCAATGAGGTCAATGTCCTGGCCTATACATTTAAGTCTGCAGCGTAGAAGTTCGCACGACTCACTTTCTTGAGCGAGTGCTTCGATACTACGCACGGTTAAGCATTTCTTGAGGTAGATGACTACGCCACCTCCTTTGCGGTTTAGTTGGTCCACCCTATGCACTTCGAAGTTTGGCAGGTTAACTTCGCTGTCAGTGACACCGGGTGTGAGCCATGTCTCTGTGATAATAATTACACCCGGGTTTCCGGAGTCTATCATGTTAACCAGCTCAGTCCGTTTATTTAACAGGCTACGGGCGTTTGTGTAGCAAACTGTTAATTCAGTTTGGTGCTTCCCCGGCCTACCCACAGAGGTTTCGGGATCATTAAACTGCGAACTTGAACAACCCGAAAACCCTTAATCTTAAGGTTCTTTTCGCCGTTTCGGCGTCGTTCGCTTAATTCTAGGACCGCAGACTGTCTTTTGACACGGTCTGCCAGGCTTAAGTCGGCGCGGACATATATGCCTGATCCTTTAAGTATATGAGAGTTGCTTGGAATAGCATCCCTCTCTTCTTTAGATTTTAGTACGACTTTGAGGAGACGTACAGGCTGACTTACTGTAGGGTCAGGCTTTTGGCCTATTCTATATATGCTATGTATAGTAATGCCTGATACTGTTTGTGGCAGTAGCTTGTCTGAAAGGGGCTTAACCAAGCTAAGGTCATGCTCAAATCTAGTCTTGGGTTCGGGGGCCAATGACTCTTCCACTTTGTGGAGAATGAGCGACCTGTCAGAGAGATCAGGTTTGCTTGCCGTGGCTTTCTTGCTCTGCGGCGTGAATGTCTTTCTGTCCTTCGTGGGCAGTGTGGCCAATGTATTGTCCTTATCTCGCTTTTTGCGAGAGACAACGTTACGCCATTCATTGGCGTTCTCCTCACTAGTCGTAGCAGGATTTATCTGCCTGCTACTCACCGGTGTGGATGAGGCTTGATCCACTAGTACCTGGGTGACTTGAGTTGCAGGTTTACGACCCCTGGTACGCCTCTTCTTTGTGGCAGTCTTTCCATTACTGTCACTGGAGGGCTTATCCAGTATCGTGGGGGCAGCCTGGGTGTCTGGAATGTGGTGAGTGCTCTTCTGTGCTGAAGGGCACTCAGTCATTGACAAAGACTCATTAGGAACATGTACTGTTTTGTCGATGACGCTAGTCGCATCTTCGGTGTCTGAGAAGTAGTCAGTCTTCTCCTGTGATGGATGACCCTTGCAGTCCATGAGCTTTAAAGCCCCGCTAAGAGTGGCAATGGCTTCTGTAATACGGTGTTTGGTAGTACTGCAACAGTCATTGCACAACCAGTTTGCTGGAGGTTTGCAGCAGCGTTTGTATGCTGCAGGAGTTAGGTTTGTGCACATACTGTGAAACCATCTCTTGCAGTTATCACACTGCATTCCCTCATCCACTGGGAATTGGCACATAACCCTTCCGCAGCGGTGTTTTTGATGGGCATACTGTCTAGAACGGACTGGCGAAGAAATTTAAATATAACTTAGATGTATATAGACCTTTATAAATCAGTGATAAAAATCAATGAGTGCACAAAAATATATATAACTGTTATGTTATAAGACACAATTTCCTATAAATTAAATAGACTCAGATCTGAAAAGTAAACTAACTTTGATCAGAATAAACTGATTTAAAGTTAATCTGTAGACTTTTGGAGCGTATAACACAACAAAAGCCAAAACTAAACAAGAGCGTGTAAAATTCACTCCCTTTTCAAAGTTCGCGCGGAAAAGGAAATAAGGACTCTGCTATCTGCTAAGTATTTTATTCTTCCTTCAATCTAATATTTTTATCATTGATTAAGCATGAATACGTGCTTTTCTATTTGTTTGAAGTAATTGAAAACAACACTTTTATTCTGGTTAGTTCGTCAGCGCGCTATTTCTACTGTCATGAATCCCCAGCAGGTGTCTTTACTGAAGGAGTTTGTGGAGTTGTTAAAACGAAAACCTGAAATTTTGGATACCCCAGAATTATCATTCTTTAAAGAATGGCTTTTGAGGTACTTTGAATGATTTGCTTATGAACGAATATAGTCTCGGGGCCAAAATTCCATCGTCTCAACCTAAACAGACTACTGAAACCCCAGTTTCAGATGTCGACTCTGGAGCAGATGAGACGTCAGAATCCGAAATAGGTGGGTTGTACGTTTATAATTTGTTTACTTGCAGAGTTTGACGATGAGGTCTTACCACGAGAAGTTGTTGAGGACCTTGACATGGGTGATGAAGGAATAGAGGTTACTGAGGAGATGCTCGAAAAAGCAGAAGAGAAAAAGAGTGAGGCTATGGGCAAAATGTCCGATGGAGATTACAGTGGAGCTGTTGACTTGTTTACGGAAGCAATTAAGCTGAATCCACAGTCAGCACTTTTCCACGCTCGACGTGCAAGGTAAATTCCATAGTGTTGACAGTATTTTCGCAGCTGCTTTATAAAAATGAAAAAACCTTCTCATGCCATCAGTGACTGTGATAAGGCCATTTCTCTTAATCCTGACTCTGCACAACCATACAAGTGGAGAGGATTCGCTAATAAGCAAGTACCATTTATAGTCGCTCATGTTTTTTTAGGATGGTTGGCAATTGGGAGGCTGCCTACTCTGATCTGCAAACATCTTTGAGGTTGGATTATTCGGACGATGCTTATGAGGCGATGAAAGAATTAGAACCTAAAGTAAGTTTGTCATTATCTTGTTAAGGTGAAGTCACTGTCGGGCGTATAGATTATTATTCATCCCTGACTTTCCTAGTGGAACAATAACATCTAAGTGCGATTTGCTTTCCGGAATTTCACACAGTAGTCTAGAAGTAATCAGTATTGAGGCTTGGGCATTAGATTAGTTCATCATACCTATAAATCAGAACCTGATGATCCGACAAAATTTATAACTCGCAAAGTGGTGCATCATCTCAAGTCGCACACACAATTTAGAGAGGACAAACTCAAAGAATCTGTAATAAGCAGAAGTCTACAGGTGAAGGAGTAGTTAAGTGATGAATGAAAATTTAATGTGGGGGCTCATAAAGAGTAATTGCAACTGCGTCATTGTAGACGTCTTCGAGCCATGTCACCAATGATCTCAAGCCATTGGCATTTCAGCCTCCCAAAGACTATATGATGAAGTGTTGCAACAGCTGACGATAACGAAGTATGTCGCTAAAAGTGTGGTGCCCTGGACTGCTTAACTTTGGTGCAAAGTCAGATTATCCGGAGGTTAGCAACATCGAATGCTCCACAGATGACAATTACACCGTTGAAAATAATACCAAGGGATGGTAACACGGAGGGAGTGTCCTGTTATGTGAAGCGTCAGTTATAGTCGCTACAACTCTAAAAGCTCAAAAGGATGAATTAATAGAAAAAATTCAGTGGGTTATGAATGAATGGGACTTCAAAATTTTGAATAACTTGGTAAACGTCGTTTCCCAATCACTTTTGCTTAGTTATCCAAACTGCAGCCAGTTAATCGACATCTAAGAGCAACAACCAGAGATTTCATACATTGGTGCTATGTTTCGATCTCACTACGACCAAGTTTTTCTGAAGAGAACCCTGCTGCTTGATGAGAAAGGTGATTGGCTCGCATGCTTAATATATGTCTAGACAATCCCTGTTGATAGAGATTTGCGAAGATTTGTTTGCATTGCGCACCTATCGCCTCTTGTACGATCCCGAAGTTATTTAGCATACTTCTGCAGTCTTGTGGGTTATGAAGCAGGTACACGATGCTTTTTGAAGGGACTGAAGCTAACACGGTAATTTAAGGCAGATAGATTAGTTAAGCTTTCTCGCAAGATGCTTCTCTTGACGTACTTAGTGTCTGTGGAATATGTTGGTTGATGCAGCAGTTGATACGTAGTCTCTTCTTAGGCTTGCTATTGGCAGTCCTGAATAGTTCAGATGGCTTCCAGATAGTGATAGCTGCGACTGTCGCTCTTATGTTTCAATAACTGGCCAAAGTTGTGTTAAGAATAACTTAGATTCCTCCCTTCACAAACGCTTTACTTTCAAGAACTATGTTTTTCCTTTCTTGCATTCATCCAGCACAAACGAATTTTCGAACACAACATGAAGTATGAGCGTAAACGACAAGAGAAATTGGACAGGGAAAAACGTGAGCGGATCCGAAAGGCTCGAGAGGAGAGAGAACGTGCCCAAAAGGTAGATTTTGTTTTGTTTGTTGTTAATGGATGTATGAGATGTCTTCACTTGTACTCGCACTTGAGTCGTTTCTACAGCAATTGAGGTGTTAGTTTATAAATAAATTTTGAGTGTTAAATGAGATAAAAGTTGGATGGGAAATCAAGCAGGCACTTTTGAAAAAGTCGAATGACTGATTCGGACCCAAATTTAGTCTTGACTTTTTTGCTGGTATAAGTGTTTGGTCTTTTTTGCCACCCTGCGTACATTACTTTTTCGGTTACCTGTTCTAATTGTTTCTATACTCATTTCTTGACAGGAAGCAGAGAAAGCTGACTTCGAGATGCCGGATGTAGGGGGTGTCCCAGGCATGGACAACGTATTCTCACAACTGTTCAACGATCCTGAATTGGTGACGGCACTTCAGGTATTCACTGCTAATTTTCTTTCGTTATCCTTAGCATTAATCTCTGTAAATTATTTTCTTAACATCAAAATTCAATTATTTCTATTAGTGGTTCAAATTTTCAAACCAAATCTCTTATTTGATTCAAACTAAAAACGTTGCGTTTCATCAAGCTACCTAGAGCATAGCTTTTCCCGAAATATATATTAAATGACAGTTTGTAAAGGTAACCATTCTTTAACTAATATGATGCTATTGTTATGCATATCACCTTTAGGCAACACTTCTTGTAAGGTAATTATAAGTAGTTTACTAAGAATGCCTTACGTTCCCAGTCAAACAGACCTTTAGCGACTACCATCCAACGAGCTCCACAACTGCCAACAAGTTTTCGTTTTCTCTTCACACGATCTACTTGGCACCCTCGAACGCCTAACTTTCACTTACCACTTGGGGTCTACTCACCAATCTCCTCGGCCGATATCCAGACCATCTGTATTTTCTTCAGCTTATTTGCTGGGCAATAACCTGTGAACTGGTTGTCTGTCTGCCAGATTCCCTTGTTGCTTATCCTTTCTGGCCAGGCAAATGATCACTATCAACACAGCGAGACGCAATGTTTACGAAGGTGCATATTAGCCTTTTGGAAATGCATTTTAATGAGATGTCATGTCTCTGAAACATAGAAGCACTGATTTAACATTAGTGCCAGCTGCTGCAGATCTCTATATTGATATCAGATTGATAAATGCGTATTTTGCTTTCTCAATCCTGTTTGGCTTCATCCGTCCAAGTTATGCTGCGTAAGTCAGCCTACTGAATATTCTTGGTTTGGTTGCTCAAATGTGACATACTTGATCCTTAATAGTTCGCTAATGTACGGCAGCAAGGGAATGGAATGCAGGACTATACACGAACGTATTTAATTCGAGTTGTTACACCACAAAAGTATTAAGATCAGGACATGGGAATCGTTAAGACGAAAATTGTAGTCTGATAAGACATTTGAAGTATTGGAAACAATTATGTATAAATCTGCACTATTTTTATGATATAACAGCAACACCTTTGCTTCTAGTAATCAATGCAGACCATAGGGTTTAATGCATGCTGGGCAGTCTGCCGCTTGCAAATAAATTTAAAATTTTGATGTGATTTAGTGACATGAACTAACAATGCAATGTTTATATTTTCATTTAAGGATCCCGAAGTGATGAAAGCGTTTAGTGAAGTGTGCTCTAACCCAGCTGCAATGGACAAATATAAAGATAACCCAAAGGTAAAGAAGATTATCGAAAAGATGAAAAATAAGTTCGGCGGTGGTGGTGGTATGCCTGGTAAGTACAACTCTACTCATAGGTGTTCATCTAAATTTGGTGCAAGCCAGTTGGCTATGAAAAGGATGTTTACTAGAAGGAAAACAATAGTTAGGTTCTTGAGTAAAAATATTGATAGTTGTAAATAATGCACTGGTTATTCCTTCCACAAGTGAAGGCCTATACGTGCTTCCTCTTGACTCTATTTAACTGTATCATTCTAATTGCTTGCGAACAACACATGTTTATCTACTAGATTCAGTAAAATTATTGAGGGCAAGTCGTAATGACACATCTGCTCATTCACTGGGCCTTCGAACGTATTGTTGGGTTTCAGTTTCAAATTTTGTGTCAATAGCCCCAACGCGAGCACTATTTTCTTTCACTTGGCTTTTTCTGTGCTGTTGCGAAATCATGGTAACTGCGTAATTATTTATAACAAGTCTGGCGACTTGATATAATTCACTCCTATGTGTAAATCCATGCTGTCTTATATAAAATCTATGATCATTCGTCCACATCAGTAAAATTACTATAAATTTGTCAGATATAGTGGTTTAAATTGAATTCTTTGGACCAGTCCTATTGAGCATGATTAAGTTTTAATTCTGCTTACTTTTGTATTACTTGAATTTACGTCATGAGGATTTGTTATTAACGTCCTTGTGCAGGGTGATAAAAACTTATTCTAACGTCTGTCCGTCGGTCGGTTTTCGACGTAGAACTTTGCACATATGTGCGGCAGTTCAAGTCGCCACACTCCATGTAGCACATAAAGCAAAGGAAGAAAGTAGAAGAAATGCATAATATAGACACTAAACAGAGGTGTCCGTACTTGGCGTTAAGTATTAATGTGAACACTAGTGTGGTGCTGCTTAGGCTAATTGCTCATAGGTTGGCACGGCATCAGTGGTTAGTTTAATCGAAGGACATCAACCTTATGAAAGTTCCACGTAGACACCTGTCTTTGAGCTAAACGTGTCCAGCCGCTGTGTTCATTAGAAAGTGTTTCTGTGAAGCCGTTTGAAACAACTTTTAGGTCAGCTGGCATGGGTTATACATAGAAGTCGATGCGCAGTAACGGATATGATCTGAAAACACTAACTTCAGTCATCATGAATGTATGTTATTCACGTTACCGCCTACTGTTTAACAACCTTAAAGTGATTCGGAACAGTGAAGAGTATATTATTTACGATTGTATGGTGAGGGATATTTGCATCATGTTAGCATTTGCTGATGCACCGCAACTTCCTAAATAAGTTTCAAGCGGTCATTAGACTGATTGGCTGCAGACATCCAATGTGACTGTCAGCAAAGACCAGTAACTATCGTGTACTTAAGTTATCTGCTATTTTCAGTAACAATATTGACTTTCCATTTTCCGTAAACGTGTTTCACAGTTGTTAAGAAGGAGTGAACTGTTGCATAATGCATGCATCCTTTAAAGGATGGGAAGATATATCACCTATGCCAAAGATAATGCGAGTGAGCAAACGAGCTTTTTGTGTACGTGCTGAGGCCCCAACAGTAACCAGTCCATTAGTGGAAACGTGGTCAACACATTCAGATCCTGTGGTTGTTTTCTGATTTCTCAGGGCTTGTGTCATGTACAGATAAATCATAGTAAACTTGGCATAGAAATCCATCAGTTATCAGACTTTAGAACCACATTACAAAGAGAAAAATAAAATGATATTGTAGCGGTTATACGTATGTTCAAGACGAAGAGTAATAATGAAGCAGACATTAGTGAATATGATCCAAATTTAGATATTAAAAAGTGAACATAATATGGTCACTGTGAATGATTTAAACCACCTTGCTGAGTTTCTCTACGCATTGACTGCACCTCCCTAGGACAGCAAACTAGGTTTCTCTGGCTTAAGTGACATCTCGTTGTGCTTATCACGTGGTTGCGTTTTTGATGTCTTCCGATTGTAAATTTATTTTAAACCTTGGAAGAAAGCCATAAAAATAGTTTGACTAATATGTAATATTTGTTCAAGATACTAGAATGAACGGCAGTCTCTCACTGTGAGGTTATGTAGTTTTCACTCAAAATCTGAAATCGGTGCTGTCTGAAAGGTAATTCGTTGAGCATAGTTTCAACAAGCAGTCATCCTGATTGCTTCGTTCTGTTTGAATTCCGAGTGCTCACGTATGTATGCATTACCCTTATGATACAGGTTTTACTACGAAGCAGCGTGTAACTCGGTCCTTTCCACCGACTTTTATTGTGCCTAACCAGTCGCAAGAACGGTGAGCCACAATCGTGAGAGTGAATATTTTATCTAAACCAGCTCGACCCTACAAATAACCGTTGGACGACCCGAATGTGGTCTTCACTAACCGATTTTACGTACACTAGGAATCCCAACATGTAGTTTTGTGTGTCCTTTCAAGAGAATAGATGCTGTCTTGGGAATTAGTATTACTTGCTTCTCTTGGAATTCAGCCACATTTTGTAAGGCCTGTTAATACTACACTGTTGCCCACTTAGGTGGGGTGGGATTCAAATCTAGTACTCAGCTGTAAACTGATTGCCTAAGGTAGAGCCATATCTACAGGTGCCAGTTAAGAGTATTGTATGAATAAAACAGCCTCATCAGTCTGAGAATGTGATTCTAGAGTTTCAGTATGATAGTTGAACTATTCTTTTGCTAGTTAATTACCCTTTACTGCCAGTAGTCTCAGCCCTCGACTAAGGCACTGTTGTTGTATCAGACTTCTTTGATCCTATTTCTCTGATAAAGAGCAGATAGAATTCCTTTAGGTTCTGATAAACACTGAAAAACAATTTGCTATTACATTCCGTTAGAGCCAATAAACAGTATACCTTCATCCTGGACTGAAAATAACCAGGTTCCCGTCGCTAGTCTTCACTGACATACCAGTCTAGACGTCATAGTATTTCACATAAAGCGGCTTCTCGAGCATTAGTTCCACCATAATCCTCATTCAACAGTTTATTTTCGGATTTCATAAACGTTTGATTGTATGTTTCGCTAGCAATTGGTTGTTGGAAAAATTTATGAAAACAGTCAACTATTAATCACCTGATCACGTTCTTAAATCCCTTTCAGTTTGACTTTGAACTGTTGTGTTCGACTCAATTTATTGTTTAATCGTCTCCTCTTTATAGGAGTGGCACAATAATTTCTTTCCTTCTTGCATCTAATTGTTTTTACCAGGAGGTATGCCGTTTGGAATGGGTGGAAGCGGTTTCAACATGCCCGGTCAGTCATGTCCAGGTAAGTTGCTGTGAACCATAATCCTTATTGCCATTTAGATTTAGACTAGATCGCATGGATGCTGATTCAAGTTACTCGGTGAATTCATTCAAACACATGTTATGCAGACATTTTTTTTTACATAAAAACTTCTCTCACCAGTGTTTATTTTCTCTTAGTCTTCTAATCTAACGATACATTTTGTTTGAACCTCCTTTTACCTAAGAAACATGAAGTAATGCAATTGGATAAAAGCACATTCCAGTTCATTTCACTAGTCTAATTGCTCGATTAACAATCTCTGGACGTTGAGTTCAAACGTTGTTCCATTTACCATGGTTTGGGCAGCCAAGCAGTATCGTTAGCTCTTACACAATAGGCATGGCTCATTACCAATCATATGGTGATGCAAGTAGTTGTTGAGCAACACACATAACAAAGCTCTAGTGAGCAATATATATTTAAAGATGTTATTGCAGCACGTCTGTTAAGTACATCCTAGTGTGTTTGGAATATTTTTACAAAGTCATACCTCTGATATCACGAATCTTTAAAATAATCAGTGTTCATTGAAGTTGAATAACTACCATATCTATGACGTAAGAATACAACTTTATAACCTTGAGGGAAGTATAATTCCGTAATAGGATAATTTATACAGTGAAGCGCACATTGTACCGCATACTGACACTTGGCATTGTCATATAGCCAGCTGTTGAATGAGGTTGACAAAGACTTGGCCACGTCGTAGTATGGAAGTAGTTTCCAAATTACTTCTCGGTCGACGCTGTCGAAGGCCTTTCCAAAGTCGATGAATTTGAGCTCCAGGTTTGACTTACATTGTATGCTTTGTTCGATGATGATGCGTAAAGTTGCAATTTGATCAGCACATGACTTGCCCTTCCTGAATCCATTTTGTTCCGTTGGGGCGAAGTTCTGTATCCAGTGCATCTTTTATTCTCTCCAGGATGATGCGACTTAGTATTTTACTTGGCGTGGACAAGAGCATTATTCGACGCCAGTTCTTGCAGAGTGAGGCGTAAGTCGCCCTTCTTTGGCAGTTTGACGAGGTAGCCCTTCTTCCAATCAGTAGGCACCTTTCCTTCTTTCCAAACTTTTTGCAGTAATGGAGTGAGAACATCTGCCGCAATCTCTGGGGCCATCTTCAGTACTTTGAGGGGGATACCGTCTGCTCCTGCTGCCTTTCCGGACGGCGTTCATTGGCTTGACCGCATACAGAATTTCTTCTTTCGTTGGAGGATTGCTGTTCACTGGCAGTTCTGTGCGTGCTGTTGGTGGTATTTCTGGGCAAGTTGCAGGTGATGGTTGATTCAACAGGCCCTTGAAGTGGCCAACC